CTTTTGTCTCGGTACTTCATCCAACGTGCAAAATTTGTGCGGTTGGATTGTGAGCAAGTGTTGCCAGACATTTGAGCGTTGTCAATCTGGTTCCACTCTTCATTCGAAAACAGGTGATTCTATTTACAGTTAAATACAAATCAAAATTGTTAATGTCATCCAATTGATTTTAAAATGAATTCCCGAGCGATTTATCTTCAAACTCTGTGGGATATCGTCGAATTGTCTGAAGTGCGAACCTATCGGCGCAGATATCACGACCAAAGAACCATTACAGTGATGAAGAATTTGTTAAAAGGGTTTTCTTAAGAAAAAGCGGTAAAATTTGTTTTACAAAAAAATGTTTTGCGACTTGAATTTAAAGTAAAGCAGTAAGTGCATTCATTTGATTTAACTAATTCCATATAATCACAAACCATTATTATCGGGAAACGATAATACATGGGTTAAGCTTCTAATAGCTCTTAGATTCTACGCAAGCGGCAGTTTTCTTATAACTGTAGGCAATTTTTGTGGTGTTAGCGTGGCCACTGCCAGTCGAGTTGTTAAGGGCGTTAATTTTGCTAAAGCGTCTGTTTCAAAACAATTTATGAAGTACCGGCGTATTAAAGATCTTCAAGAAAATGTTGTTGATTTTTATAAAATAGCCAAGTTTCCGAAAGTCCAAGATAGGAGCCATAGATTGCACGCATGTAAGAATTCAATCTCCCGGAGGCGATTCCGAAGACACCAGTTCTACAAGAATTGTGTCCTGTTCATCGGTATAATTTTTACCGCGAAACTTTCTTTCTGCCGACATTGTTTTTTATTAGTTTGAAATTTTGTTTATAACATCAGCTGTTAGTATGACTGTTTTATGGTATTTTTCGATAGTTTTTCGAGTCCACCCAGTCTCAAATTAGTGCGCCTTTTATGTGGAGTTTTAAATGACAGACGAGAAAACGAAACTGATTTGCCACCGGGATAAATTTATCCTTCTATTAGCTAAATTTTACTTTGCAGGACGGACTAGAAAACGGCCCTTACTTGAACTGTTTTCAATGACAGATCGAACTACTTGACCTGAAATTTGGTTTGGGTACCTAAATAACCTATTTTGTATACCCATGCAGGGCTCTAGTATAGAACATATTCTGTGTTTCAACAAATAGGTATAAAAAGTCAAAATACCGTTTTTGTTCTCCGTTTAGTTAAAACGGTCTTTGATCAACCGAAACCGTTTTGAAACAAAAAAATCGGTTACTGGTAGAGCAAAGACCGAAAACCCTTTAAAAGGAAATAAACAGTTTCTATGTGACTATTTGCTCAAAAGGTCCCAAAGTGAGAGTTATTTTGAGACAGCTAGAAATAGTCAACTGTTTTTTACATGCTCTGGAACAACCCATTTCCAAAAAATGCTTTTAAAGGCAAGTGGCCTGCTTTTGTTAGTTTGGTTTTTGACATAGATCGGAAAATTAAATGAAAACAAGAAAGGAAGCTACCTTCGGCCAGCCGAAGCTTATATACCCTTGCATATAAAGTAATACTCACTCGGTGCAGTTCCAGGGATTCCAGATTCAGTGTTCCTATTTTTGAATTTTGTTTTTAAGTAGTCAAGAATTAAAACGCCTACTTCCTACAAATTAACAAGAATTTTCTTATATATGTTTGAATATTCCTATGGGAGCCTTATATATATATAGTGGTCCGATCCGGCTCGCTCCGACATATGTACTACCTGCAATAGAAAGAAGTCTTTCTGGAAAGTTTCATCGCGATAGCTTTAAAACTGAGAGACTAGTTCGCATAGAAACGGACAGACGGACAGACGGACAGACGGACAGACGGACATGGCTAGATTGGTGCTGATCAAGAATATATATACTTTATGTGGTCGGAAACGTCTCCTTCACTGCGTTGCAAACATCTGACTGAAATTATAATACCCTCTACAAGGGTATACAAATTATATTTTTGTTGATTTTTTTTACATTTTCTTCTTCTCTGATTAATAGCTTTTCGTTATTTCGAAATAAATTTAACAAAACTTAAATTATAGCTGACATAGAAAGGTTCAGCAAGGTAATGCAAAAATAATAAGAAAGCTGCCAAAATTATGTTTGATATTACATATACGCAAGTTAATTAATGCTTTAATTTAATGTTTTTGTAAGTTAATAAGAACGATCTGCAAGGGTATATAAGCTTCTACTGGCCGAAGCTAGCTTCCTTTCTTGTTTTAAATTGTGATGTACCGGTTAAAATTTGTAATATTTTAATTTATACTTCTCGGAAATGTTTAAAGATGTGGGCGCAGGACACATTTTAAAATCGTTACTGGGCGATTGTGGGCGTTAGAGGGGGCGTGGCGCTCGACTGAAATAAACTTCCGCTGCGTAGGAGGCCCAATATGTGTGGAAAATCTAAACCTTCTAGCTTTTGTAGTTTCAGAGATCTCAGCGTTCATACGGACAGACAGACAGACAGACAGACAGACAGACGGACAGACGGACATGGCTAGATCGACTCGGCTAGTGACCCTGATCAAGAATATATATACTTTATGGGGTCGGAAACGCTTCCTTTTAGCTGTTACATACTTTTGCACGAATACAATATACCCTTTTACTCTACGAGTAACGGGTATAACAAGAAAGGAAGCTAGCTTCGGCCAGTAGAAGCTTATATACCCTTGCAGATCGTTCTTATTAACTTACAAAAACATTAAATTATAGCATTAATTAACTTGCGTATATGTAATATCAAACATAATTTTGGCAGCTTTCTTATTATTTTTGCATTACCTTGCTGAACCTTTCTATGTCAGCTATAATTTAAGTTTTGTTAAATTTAATTCGAAATAACGAAAAGCTATTAATCAGAGAAGAAGAAAATGTAAAAAAATCAACAAAAATATAATTTTTTTCATTTAATTTTCCGATCTATGTCAAAAACCAAACTAACAAAAGCAGGCCACTTGCCTTTAAAAGCATTTTTTGGAAATGGGTTGTTCCAGAGCATGTAAAAAACAGTTGACTATTTCTAGCTGTCTCAAAATAACTCTCACTTTGGGACCTTTTGAGCAAATAGTCACATAGAAACTGTTTATTTCCTTTTAAAGTGTTTTCGGTCTTTGCTCAACCAGTAACCGATTTTTTTGTTTCAAAACGGTTTCGGTTGATCAAAGACCGTTTTAACTGAACGGAGAACAAAAACGGTATTTTGACTTTTTATACCTATTTGTTGAAACACAGAAAATGTTCTATACTAGAGCCCTGCATGGGTATACAAAATAGGTTATTTAGGTACCCAAACCAAATTTCAGGTCAAGTAGTTCGGTCTGTCATTGAAAACAGTTCAAGTAAGGGCCGTTTTCTAGTCCGTCCTGCAAAGTAAAATTTAGCTAATAGAAGGATAAATTTATCCCGGTGGCAAATCAGTTTCGTTTTCTCGTCTGTCATTTAAAACTCCACATAAAAGGCGCACTAATTTGAGACTGGGTGGACTCGAAAAACTATCGAAAAATACCATAAAACAGTCATACTAACAGCTGATGTTATAAACAAAATTTCAAACTAATAAAAAACAATGTCGGCAGAAAGAAAGTTTCGCGGTAAAAATTATACCGATGAACAGGACACAATTCTTGTAGAACTGGTGTCTTCGGAATCGCCTCCGGGAGATTGAATTCTTACATGCGTGCAATCTATGGCTCCTATCTTGGACTTTCGGAAACTTGGCTATTTTATAAAAATCAACAACATTTTCTTGAAGATCTTTAATACGCCGGTACTTCATAAATTGTTTTGAAACAGACGCTTTAGCAAAATTAGCGCCCTTAACAACTCGACTGGCAGTGGCCACGCTAACACCACAAAAATTGCCTACAGTTATAAGAAAACTGCCGCTTGCGTAGAATCTAAGAGCTATTAGAAGCTTAACCCATGTATTATCGTTTCCCGATAATAATGGTTTGTGATTATATGGAATTAGTTAAATCAAATGAATGCACTTACTGCTTTACTTTAAATTCAAGTCGCAAAACATTTTTTTGTAAAACAAATTTTACCGCTTTTTCTTAAGAAAACCCTTTTAACAAATTCTTCATCACTGTAATGGTTCTTTGGTCGTGATATCTGCGCCGATAGGTTCGCACTTCAGACAATTCGACGATATCCCACAGAGTTTGAAGATAAATCGCTCGGGAATTCATTTTAAAATCAATTGGATGACATTAACAATTTTGATTTGTATTTAACTGTAAATAGAATCACCTGTTTTCGAATGAAGAGTGGAACCAGATTGACAACGCTCAAATGTCTGGCAACACTTGCTCACAATCCAACCGCACAAATTTTGCACGTTGGATGAAGTACCGAGACAAAAGTTGTCCCTACCTGCGTTAACATTAGGACGAGTAAACCATTTTTATACCCGTCACTCGTAGAGTAAAAGGGTATATTGTATTCGTGCAAAAGTATGTAACAGCTAGAAGGAAGCGTTTCCGACCCTATAAAGTATATATATTCTTGATCAGGGTCACTAGCCGAGTTGATCTAGCCATGTCCGTCTGTCTGTCTGTCTGTCTGTCCGTATGAACGCTGAGATCTCTGAAAATAAAAAAGCTAGAAGGTTTAGATTTTCCACACATATTCTTGGGCCTCCTACGCAGCGGAAGTTTATTTCAGTCGAGCGCCACGCCCCCTCTAACGCCCACAATCGCCCACTAACGATTTTAAAATGTGTCCTGCGCCCACATCTTTAAACATTTCCGAGAAGTATAAATGCAATTTTGTTGTGTATACTTATACCTATCGAAATGTAGAAGACATTTTTTAAATCGGACCATTCATTAAAAAGTTATACGCAATCCAAAAAAAGTTATATATCCATCTCCCTCGCACTCCCTTTAGCCGAGTGACGCGTATTAGATAGTCGGGACACCAACCCGACTATAGCGTTCTCTCTTGTTTTAAATTGTGATGTACCGGTTAAAATTTGTAATATTTTAATTTTTTCAGAACAAAAGTATCTCAATGACAGACATGTACCTGGATAGCAACGATCCGAGTGAAAATGTTGGACAAATACATTTTTCTTTAGAGTACGATTTTCAAAATACAACATTAATTTTAAAAGTTCTGCAAGGAAAGGAGCTTCCAGCAAAAGATTTAAGTGGTACTTCCGACCCATATGTTCGTGTAACCTTGTTACCTGATAAAAAACATAGATTGGAGACCAAAATAAAACGACGAACCCTAAATCCTCGATGGAATGAAACATTTTACTTTGAGGGATTTCCAATTCAAAAACTTCAATCACGTGTAAGTATACATTTACCGATCCACCAACTGGCAACATAATGTGCCGTCTTCTTAACATCAAAAAATCGCGATAAATCTATATTTTTAAATTTATAATGTTAGATATGATTATCCTTTGATCCGCGTTTTCCTCATATAAACCCATTTTAAATTACTCCAGCAAACAAAATAAAATCGTATAAATGCTACACGAAGGCATCAGTCCGTATTAACGCTGAGATCTTGGAAACTTCAAAAACTAGAAAGTAGAGATTAACCATACATATCCTTAGGTTCCTTCGCAACGCAAGTTTATTTCCCCAGAGCGCCACCCTAGCGCTGACGCCCTCAATCGCCTAAAAAGACCTTTAAATAAGTCTGGCACTGTATTCCTTACAGATTTTGTAAGAGCGTAAAAACTTTTTGTACTATCTGTCTGAACTTCTGTTGAACCGGATTCAGTCATCAAAGACTAATTTTACTGGAATTTAATGCGCTTTAACTTTTCTATAACAGTTTAACAATGTTGGTTAAATTCAATAGTCGCTAGCATAAATTCCTTATTTAAAAATAAAAAACAACCAAAATTTGATTATTAATATTTTTAAAATACTAATATATACTTTACTGACCAAAAGGGAACGTTTCAAACTAATTTAGTTTTATTAATTTTAAAATGATAAACTGCAAGTAGTATTAACACACATAACAATTTTGTTTTATTTTTAAAATGGACGATACAAACGCTGTAGGTTTTACACTTACATGTGTTTGATTACGATCGATTCTCAAGAGATGACTCCATAGGAGAAGTTTTTCTTCCCCTATGCCAGGTAAATACTCATTTAATAACTGTATCTTGATGCTTAGTAAAAATTTTGGTTTTCTTTGTTAAATAAGGTTGACTTTGCTGGTAAACAATCATTTTGGAAGGCATTAAAGCCCCCTGCGAAGGATAAATGCGGAGAACTGCTTTCCTCCCTGTGCTATCACCCGTCGAACTCAATTTTGACGTTAACATTGATCAAAGCGAGAAATTTAAAAGCTAAGGATATCAACGGAAAATCTGGTAAGCGGTAACATGCATCAATTTTTTCTAAGGCAGCTATATAACCTAGTCTTCCAACTTTTAAATTTAAATTTAATTCGAAACTCGGAAATATTAAAAAAATGTGTATCGCGGAGTATTAAAAATACCTTAAAGATCAACGAAGCTATAATTTTTAGCAGGATTGGGACATACCTAGATACTTTTACCTAGGGACGTACCTGGGTAAAATTTTGTGGCACCCTCTACCTTTGCCAGGTATATAGGGGAGAAGGGGCACTAATAGGAGGAAAAGTTTAGTTAGACATAGCAGCTATAAATAAAGAGCCATTGGAATGGGACTGGTTATATCGGAAAGGCTGTTCTTTTGGCTATACATTTTTCCTACATCATTTTGAAGTCAATTACAAAGCCTTCGAGTAACGTTGTATAATGTCAACATACTTTTTGAACTAGTATAGCCCAGTACTGGGATAATGACAGTACGAAACTAACTTTCGCTGTTAACGGTATAGGGTAAAAGAGAAATTTGTATAAAATTTCTTCGAACTCTTTGGCCACCAATCTTCTTATCTAAATGGAATTTTTGATTTTTTGTAACCCTTTCTCATGATATAAAAATGCGTTTATAGCTCTTTGACGCGGAAGTCCACATTTTTGTAAGTTTATTATTTTTCTTCCTTGATGTCAAATTTTGCTTTGCCGCCCTTAACCCCGACTTGGGTCATTTTCCTCAGTTTTACTGCAATCTGACTCATCAAATACCACGAAAATTGATGACCATTAAATTATTTAGTAAGAGAAACGCGTTGGGCATAAAATTTCCCTTCAGAAAATAAATATTTCAAAAAATCTCGCGTACGACCAATGTCTAAAAAAGTGTCCCGAACAGAATGTTTACGAAGTTTACGAAAAAATCGATGAAATGCGCCATGAAAGGGGCCTTGCTTTTTTTTTAAGGTACATATCTCTGATTAAGAAAGGGACACCTACAATTTTTTTAATGGTACCAATTTTTTTTTAAGTTTTAAAAACATGTTTGACAGTTTTGTTTTCTAACTTGAGTTCTGAATGGAATGTTCTTAAACTTTCTTGTACACATCATTTAGGGCCGTTTTCTCGTCCGTACTTTAATTTGCCTGCCGGGACAACGGAGCGATAAACAAAAAATGGTTTACTCGTCCTTATGTTAGCAAATGTAGCGACAAATTTTGTGTCGGTACTTCACCCACCGTGCAAAATTTGTGCGGTTGGATTGTGCGCAAGTGTTGCCAGACATTTGAGCGTTGTCAATCTGGTTCCACTCTTCATTCGAAAACAGGTGATTCTATTTACAGTTAAATATAAATCAAAATTGCTAAGGTCATCCAATTTATTTTAAAATGAATTCCCTAGCAATTTCTCTGAAGTGTGAACTTATCGGCGCAGATATCAAGACCAAAGAAATTACTTCCAACATTACAGTGATGAACATTTTTTTTAAAAAGGGTTCGCTTGCGAAAAAGCGGTGCTATTTGTTTTGCAAAAAGTTGTTTTGCGACATGAATCTAAAGTAATGAAGTAAGTGCATTCATTTGATTTTACTAATTCTATATAGTCAAAAACCATTATTGCAGGGAAACGACAATATAGTCATGGGTTAATTTTCTAATAACTCTTAGATTCTACGCAACTGGCAGTTTTCTTATAACTGTTGGCGATTGTTAAGGAAGTTTCTTTTGCTATAACGTCTTTTTCAAAACAATTTATGAAGTACCTGAGTATTGAAGATCTTCAATAGCCAAGTTTCCGAAAGTCTTTGGAGCCATAGATTGCAAGCATGTAAGAATTCAATCTCCCGGAGGCGATTCCGAAGGCACCGGTTCTACAAGAATTGTCTCCTGTTCATCGGCAATTTTTTTTTAATGCGAAACTTTCTTTCTGCCGACATGGTTTTTTATTAGTTTTAAATTTTGTTTATATCATTAGCTGTTAGTATGTCTGTTTTATGGTAGTTTTCGATTAATTTTTGACAATTAGTTAACTCTTCTGTTGTGGGGCTGCCACCCAGTCTGAAATTAGTGCGCCTTTTATTTGGAGTTTTAAATGACGGACGAGAAAGCGAAAACCGATTTGCCACCGGGATAAATTTATCCTTCCATTAGCTAAATTGTACTTTGCAGGACGGACGAGAAAACGGCCCTTAGGGTATTCAATTGCGTTGCGAACATGTAATTTGTACATGTAATTTGTAATTATGCCAGACAGAAATCGTGAACGACCTTTTTTAAAAAATTGTTGCAATATATTGACGTACAGGATAAGGCTAACTTCATATTCTTGGTATTTCTTTATATTTTGAGGAAAAAATAAATGCAAGGGAGGCTTTGCTAAAATAAAATTGACATATGTACATAAAAATGGCGCCCTTTTTACTTTATATGAGAAGTCCGCGACTTCTTAGGCATTAAATGGCTGAGGACGAACATTCAAGTTGATTACTGGTATTATAGTCATTCTTATTTGGTTTCACCAAAAATTTAGTTAAACCGCGAGTTCATCAGCTGATAGGTTATCCAATTTCTTGGCCAAGAATGTCATTTCCTTACTATCTTAAATAAACCCTCAGTTAAATATCCCAAAAAAAAAAATAAAACCGCGAGTTCTTTGGCATATAGATGCTATATCGTTTAACAATACCCAAAAAACATAGATCGCCAAAAGTAGATCAAACAAAATTTTTACGCGAATTCTTAAGCGCCAATCGGCTTCTAGGTTGACAACACCATAGACTCAAAACCGACTTTCAGTATTTTTGTAGTATTTAACACCTCTATTTTAAACCATTATTTATACACAAGTACAACATATTTGTATACATAGGCTGGGGTGTTGTAGGCCTAGCAAACTATTTTGTATGGAAATTGTTGTTGGAAATGCTTACACTTTTACACTTTTCAAACGTTTGCAACGCAATGGAATACCCTAAATGAGTTTCAGTTATTAGTTATACCCGTTATTCGTAGACCATTCGTACAAAAGTATGTAACAGATAGAAGGAAGTATATATATTATTGATCAGGACCACTGGTCGAGTCAATCTAGCCATATCCGTATGAACGCTGAGATCTCTAAAACTATAAAAGCTAGAAAGTTCTGTCTGTCTGGCGCACACCTCTTTAAAGATTTCGGAAAATCAAATGTTGTAGTGTAGTGTAGTAATACCTATCAAAATGTAGAATTTTAAAATTGGACCATTCATATTAAAGTTATGACCAAATAATACAATTTAAGCAGTGCAAGCAGTCGCTTTGCTGTATGCGTATCTTCGTCTCCCTCGCACTTTCCTTAGCACCTCTTGTTTAGAAGCTAGACTTAGTCAGCGTTTTTGCGTTTTCGAGGTGTAGCTTCTAAACTAATGACCGGAACTCAACGATAAGTATTCAAAAGTTAATTCGCCAAAATCGGTTTATCAGAACACAAGTTAGAAAAAAAGCCTCAAAAACGTTTTTTCCACTTAAAAACAAGAGAGAACGCAATAGACGAGTTCCTCGATTTTTAAATACCCGTTACTCAGCTTAACAACTTTAATATAAATATGCCTTCTTGTATGTTTTTTGCGCGCCTCATTTCAAATATTTTACGTAAATGCAAAATGTATTCCAAATTAGAGTGACCAGCTTTTTTCCAGCACCAGCTGGAGTGTTGAACACGCGTGCCATCTATGGCACGGAATTGGTACTGTTTATACAGAAAACTGTGGGCGCCACGGCTTTTTGGGGTGTGTGGGCGTTAGAGGGGGCGTGGCACCTTGATAAAATAAACTTCCCTAGAATATGTGTGGAAAATCTCTTCTAGCTTTTGTAGTTTCCGAGATCTCAGCGTTCATCGGAACGGACAGACAGACAGACGGACAGACGGACATGGCTAGATTGACTCGGCTAGGGATACTGATCAAGAATATATATACTTTATGCGGTCGGAAACGCTTCTTTCTAGCTGTTACATACTTTTGCACGAATACAATATACCCTTTTCCTCTACGAGTAACGGGTATAAAAGGTGATGAAATTATTCTTCCGTTGGCCTTCTATTCAAAAATGTTCCTATGCAAAAAATATGAAAGCAATTTAACACTTTAAAACTATTTAAACCGAGTTATGTTTACTTCTTTGTAAAGACCTTATTAAATAATTACCTAAGAATGTAGCAAATGTAATTTTATTCACATTTGTACCGAAAAGCTAAATAAAAACCACTTACTCTTGGCGATTTAGCTATGTGGAGTTTGGAAGGTAATCTACAGCTCCCAACGCGTATAAGGAAAGACAATAACCTTCACCTCGATAAGAATTATATTAATAAAAGACAGAAAGACAGGTGGAAGAGAAAGTCGTGAATCATATTGTTTAAGCATTTCCATTCGTTCAAAAAATATGAGACACGTGTAGGAAAGAGCAAGAGAATCAATTGATTTAAATATTTAATGATCTTTTAATATTATCAATGCAATTTAAATTTTAAAACAAAAAATTCTGTAAGAAAATATCTTAAATCTGTTGTGAAAATGTAAATGAAAAGTTCTTTTAGCAAAAAGATATCAGTATTATCCTGAATTTGCATTTAAACGAATCCTAGCTGCAAAGCACACATTCTCCTACTTACGAATATATCTAGTGGTTGTATGTGTAAAACACGCAATTTTTTGCTTATATATTATATATATATATATATTTCGCGTGTGTGTGTACGCAGCGGAGTGTATTAATGTTTTCTTTTCTTTTTTACAAATCAACAGTGTGTCAATAACTCAACGTTTGAAAACCAATATATAGTTTGGAAAAATGTCGTCTTAGGTGATAGGTGATAAACAAAGACGTTTTATTCTGTATGAAATACATATATCAGATTTAACCTTATTTTCACAATCAGTTTTACATACCGTAGTCTAGCCTCCCAGTCTCTTTGATCTCTCCAATCGGAATAAATTTGAGCGTGAGATTTTGGCTTACAATTCACCATTTCGTGTGTCCGCATTTAGC